AAAGATTACAGCAGCTGTCTCTTTAAAATAAGTTCTTAGTTTTTGCCAATAGTGGCACATATTCTTAAACTGGTGCAGAATATTCCAGATAGGGGTCAGTCCATCAGATTCCTTGCTACTCCTTTTACCCAAAGCAGGGCTGTCAAGGTTCTTGCAGTAATCTTGTGTTGTTGCTAAGGATATGGGGGTGAAATGCTGATTTAAAAGGCTTTAATTCATCACAGAGAATTCTTGAGAGATACCTTAATACCTATGTGACAAGAATGCTGACGAAATACTTGTTCAGCTGTTTTAAAGGAGCAATTGCATCAGTACTGTTCTGGAGTTCAAAGACTTTCCACCATCTTCCACACTGACAATCACAGCTCCCCTAAACCTGCCTTTGTTCACTGGAACATATTTGCAGGAGATCTGCTAAAGCTGTGGCCTTCAAAAACCAACTGGTTAAGTGAGTAACCAGGGAGGAAGAGAGTGATGATTATAATTGTAATGATAGTTATTATCCAGGAAGAAGAAAACGAGTTGTATGCATGGGCACAAAGATATCTAAAGACACTGCATTAAGATCTGCTTTTTTTATATCTAAGAAGACAAACCAGAGACTGAAAATAAATGTCCCTCATACTTAACATGCACAATTTTAGAAAGAAGCACTGTTTCACCTAGTAATTAAAAGCCCTTGCTTTCAGGCAACAAACTTTTAATAAATGGTCTTGCTTTGTGTGTCTCCCTGTGACGAGAGAGAATCAAATAGAAATTCTTAATGCTGCAAGTGCTCCTCTGTCCCTAACAGGTACAGTACATATACTGGATGACCTGAAATTTGGCTTATTCTGTTCCAAAGATTCCTATTGTAATGCCTGTGAGGACTGTGGTGGCCCCAAAGACATTCTATGTTCCCCATAAGCCATCCCACCATTCCATCTCAAATTTTTGAGTAAAGAAACGACTATGGAGGGCTACAGGAAAAATCTCAGTCACTTTGAGATGCTCTCAAAACAGACAATCATTCAGCAAAACACTTCTATGCCTTACATCAGTTGCAGTGCTGTTTGTTAACTAAATTGCACTGATAGCTCCAACCAAGTGTGTACTAGCTTCTGAACTACTTTCCAGAGGTAAGAATGGAAAATAATTTTCCTTACAACTGAAGTCTATAAAAATACAGTTCATGTTAAATCTCAGTGGAAACAAAAAGCATTGCCATACAAAACTCACCAAGGCTAAAAATAAAAATAAAATATTTTTTCTTTCCTCACGACAGAAAGAAATGCTCAGCTTTTGCTTTGAATCTTTTAACAAACATTGAGAAGCCCCTCCCTTATTTCAAGGCAAGACAATAAGCGTGCCACAGCAGCTATCTACAATACTTTAATAAAACCTAAAAGCCATACAGTATTCCTATAGATCAGTATTGGGAACAAGGAGGTGTCTTACCTGCAAAGTTGTTTGAATAGTCAATTTGTACACATGGATTTGTGCTTGCACAGAATGGGCTGTCTCTCAGTTCCAAACTGTGAGCAACAGGGCACCAATCAACCATTGGCGCAGAAGAGAGAAAGAAGGGCAGACCATGTGAATGCACAGATGATCATTTGAAAGACAAACGTTACAGGTAAGCAACTTGCTTAGGATAAAGTCACATCTATGATCTTGTCCTGCCATGTCTTTTGGTGTAGCAACAGTGGTGGAGTCTGTGGCAATCTGGATAACAGTCCCAGCGCATAATGGCAGACATGCTTTGCAAACTTTGAGTACTATGAATGGCTCCAAAAACTGATGTGATGCCAAGGTCCTCTCAGTATCCACCTCCATTAAGCGCAGTCTTGGATGCTGTGACTTTCTCCACTGTGGAGTGAAGGACATGTCTTGGAACAGGTGAGTGTGGAGGGACCACCATTGCAGCAAGGGAATAACTACAGGAAGAATTGTGAGGCAAAGTCATCGAGTTGAAGACCAATGTTTTTGTGAGGTACCAAAGTTGCTGCGCTCACGTACAAAGCCTGACAAACTGCTGGACTGCTTCTATGAGGGTCATGAATCACAGAAACCTGCAGATATGAAGGGATGTGCCTGTAGGCTGAGCCATAACAGTGTGCACCAGGTTGACTGTCCTTTGAGTTCTGCGTTCAGGACAATCATTGGAGCTCAGTGTGAAAGCAATTTGGTACATTTGAAGATTATGCCCTGGGATGGTGTGAGCCATAATTTACTGGGGCATAGACAAAGGCTCAGGTTAGAGAGTGTAACTGCTTTCAGTTGACAGGTCTCTGCCCGAATTCTCAAGTGCATGCCAAGTCACATGAACAACAAAGCAACATGAATGCCATAATCACTCATAACCTACACATGTTTAAAATGCAATCAGTTAAAATGATAATGGCTTTGAGATCTTGCAACAAAAGAAAGGAACGTAGCCATAGACTCTGTGATTCATTGGTTTGGACCAGCAAAAATGTACTTCAAATACCACATGAATGGCCTTCCAGGGCATTTCCTCCTAATAGGATGCAGAAGTCTGTTACTCTCGTCTCTGTGAAGGCTTCATTCAGAAAAATGGGCCAAAAATTCAACTGCTTCATCTCTAAAGGGGCACAACTGATCTCCATAGAGAATACTTCCACTATTGCAGAAGGAAGATGGTTGAATCTAGCCCCGGATAAACTGTGGTCACAAACTGGGAATTAGTCATAAAATCATAAGAGTTGGAAGGGATCTATAAGGTCATCAAGTCCAACCTCCTGCTCAATGTAGAAATCCAAATCAAAGCAAACCTGACAGATGGTTGTCTAATTTTATCTTGTGTGCCTCCAGCATTGAAGCACTCACCAGCTCCTGAGGTTATTGGTTTAATTGTTGTACTGCTCTAACAGTTAAGGAGTTTTTTCTGATAGTCAACTTAAAACTGGCTTTCTGTAGCTTCAGCCCATTATAACGTGTCCTGCACTTCTGGGATGACTGAATCAAATGTCCCCATTTCACTTCAGCATCATAAGGTACCAGAAGTTGTAATAGTAGTTGATGGTGGAGACTGTGATCGGATTCAAGAGATTAAGAAGTATAGTTGTAATAAAAATTATTCAACTCCCACTACAAATTAGGTTTATTGTCAACATTGACAGACTTTCAGCTGTTTGCAATGAACAAATCAAACAAAAGCAATTGAAATAGCGCAACACAAGAAATGCATCAAGTGGTTTCCCCAGATTTAACTGAAAATGCAACTTTCAATGAATTGTGCAGACTCAAAATATTCAGCTCCCTGAATAGAACACAACAGCACAAATATGCAAAACAGGTGTTGTTTCAAGCATACCTGATACAACTAATCAAGGGCTTCATTAGGATACTAGGATACAAAAGGATAGCAAAGGCACTCAGTGTTCCTAGAGATACCACTGGAGGCATAGTTCACAAGTTCAAAGTTAAATAACAGTGGTTACACCACCTAAACGGTGCAAAAAAAGGAAGTTATCAATGGCTGCAACCAGATTTCTGAGAAGGCGGGTTGAGAAAAATCCTCAAGGGACTGCAAAAGCCCTGCAGCAAGACTTGGTGGCAACAGGCACTGAGGTTTCAGTTTGCACAGTTACGCAGAAGGTTTCCATGCCAGAACTCTAAGACCTACTCCACTGCTGTCCCAAGAAAAGGTTGCTTCAATATGCTCAAAACCATATAGATCAGCCATGGATGTTTTGCGATTCTGTCCTGTGGAGTGATGAAACTAAACTGGAACTTTTCGGCCTGATTCGAAATTCTGAGAATGCACAATTAATATATTCTTGAAGGCTTTCACAAAATTAAATGCAGAATTTGAGAATGCAGAATTAATTAAACGTTCTATTTTCAGTTTAAATCGGGGAAACCACTTGCAACATTCATTGTGTTGAGCTTTTTCAATAGCTTTTGTTTGATCTGTTAATTGCAAACAGCTGAAAGTCGTAAATTTTGACAATAAACCTGATTTGCAATGGGGGTTGAATAATTTTGATTACAACTATAGATGGACAAACGATAAAAACAGATGAACTGCTACTGTCGTAAGTAGTATAGCAAATGTTGGCAAAGCCGCCAAGAGTGGTTGAAATGACTAGATAGGCAGGGTATAAATACAATAAATAAATAAAATAAATAAATAAAGATATGAAGCATAATAGTGTCAATGGTAGTACCATAGCTGAGACAAGAAACCATCTACTGTGAATGTTGACTGAATGGTCATGGTCAATGCAGTGCAGACAAATATACTTGAAATAACTGAAGCAGTACGTTTGGTGCTTGATGGCAGCTCCATTTCTGTAATGTAGTGATGAACTGTAGTACCGTGTTTCCCAAAAAATAAGACAAGGTCTTATATTAATTTTTGCTCAAAAAAAACGCATTAGGGTTTATTTTCAGGGGATGCTTTACTTTGTTCATGTACAACAATCTACATTTCTTCAAATACAGGTGCACCTCAGTTAACGAAAGCCTCAGTTAATATAATTTTCAGTTTACGAAGGAAAATCCATTGAAAATAATGCCTCGGTTAGGTTGGAATCTTTATCCTCTGAAGCGGGGAGGGGTGGGTTAATTTTGGGTTATTTTTTCTCTTTATTTAGTACTTTGCTGTAGTTTGTTTGAATGATAAATGTTTTGTATGTATATGTTTAAATAAAATAAAACTCTTGAAAAAAATAATGCCTCGGTTTACGGTTTTTCCCACAGTACGAAGCAAGTTTCCACAAGATGCATTGTGCCTTGAGGTTTATAGCGCCGCCCCCATTCCTATGGCAATCTGCGTTTTGGCTTACAAATTTTTCGCATTTATAAAGTCCTAGAGAATGCATTAAATTCCTAAACTGAGGTACACCTGTACAGTCCTGTCATCTTCTTCTTGTTGCTGCACAGTGGTGGAGGGCGGGGTTTCACTTAACTGGGGCTTATTTTCAGGGTAGAGCTTATATTACGAACATCCTGAAAAATCATCCTAGGTCTTATTTTCAGGTTAGGGCTTATTTTCGGGGAAACGTGATTGCATTATTTTCTTTAGGGAGATTGCCAAAGTATGAGTTTTTCCCTTTTCGGAGCTTGCTGGTATTGACAGGATGACCAATTATGACATAGACATGGATGTCAAGGCTGCTGGTAAAGATGACAGTGCCAATTTTGAGGCTGAGGAGTTCTCAGAAAATTGAGTAGCAATTGCTAGGAAAAGCACATGATTTACAAATAGGGAACATTTGGCTGGGAGAGTCAATGGATGAGATGGTGTGCTCAAGAAAAAAGATCTTAGCCATGTGACAAGGTTATGGTGAGTCTGTCTAGGGAAGATTTGACAAGCCCAAGTGTTTTGCACGTCATGTAAACAAGGCACTTATCATGGCTGTTTGAAAGAGGATTTTTCCACTGTAAGAATGCAGTAGGCAAAGAAAGCTCCTGAGGCAAAAGACCCTGAGGAAGAATGTACAGAACACAAAAGCAAATTTCAATGAAGCAGAAAACTTTAATGACAAAAATGAAATGTAAAAATTAAAAAATTGTAAGGTAGTCCTTGCCTGGCACCATCCCATTCTTGCTGCTACTGCAAATATTTTGCTTGCTGACTGACACCTCTCATGTGTGCTTGATGAAAATCACAGAAAAAACAACACTGCAGGTGGTCACAACTTCCACCCTCTTTTTCAGAGAAGTCAACACACACATTGCTATTACAATGTTAAAACAGCTGAGTGTTCCTGGCTGGTAACTACTTCTATCGCTCAGGCAACAAATTGTCCCCAGTTAATATGACTAAATAAAGCATAGTTCTAAACATACCTTATTTCTTTTCTGCCTCCTCACCATTTGGAGGCCTGGAAGAGTCAGGGTCATCACTTCCTTCAACTATTATTTCAGGCGGGGTTTGATCCTCTACAACAGCAGCCTTCTGTGTCTTAGGAGTAGCCTGTTTTTCATCTGTTGCTGGAGGCAAGCCATCACTTGGAAATTCTGTCTGAGGAAACGCCATCTGCGGGAAATCCAAGGCTAGGAACTGCTCTACTGCCACCTCTGTATTCTCATGGATGATCTGATGAGCAGCATGAATGTGTTTTCTCTGGGACTGTCTCACTGTGCAGACAAAAGAAAGAAGAAACAGATCTGAGGGAGTGAGGCAGAAACAATAATGGACAATAGCCATTCCGCTCTACAACTCCCTCACTCAGAAGAAAGAAAATTAAAGTTTTAAACATTCTAAAATGAGTGCTGAACTGCTTCTCAGGGCCAACTTAACCAACAGCCTTACAAAACATAGGAAAATACTAGATACTAGAAAAACAGAGCCATTCACATTACCAGCAGAGACTCAAAATACATTACTAAATCCATAGATTGAGAGATTACTGTGTATTGCATAGAAAAGAAAATATCTGCTGGATATGGCTTTCTCTCTCATTCTGACACAGCAATGACAATCCCACTCTTGGTTAAACTAAGTTATTAAAAGAAAATACCAAAGAATTACTCTGTAGCAGAATTAGTCTGTCTCAGAATGTTGGCAAAAAAAGAAACAAAAACATTGTAGCCCTTGAAAGACTAACCACTTTATTTCAGTGTGACTTTTCAGACATCCAAGTCCACTTCACACACTGGAGTGCAAATATGTGACATATTTATTTATACATATCCCCATAACCAAGAGAGGATGCAAAAATAGACAAAATGACAATGGTTCATTAACAAGGAATAGGACTCTCAAGCTGTTCACTGGGTAACAGCTGTACCAGGTGTAACTGGCTGTCTTAGAAATGCTATCTCAGAGACTATCAACAGAGACAACCCATTCCATATTCATATGATAATTCAAATCTTCAAAAAGATCTCCCACTTACGAACATGGGATATTGTGCTTCTGTATCCATTATTCCAGAGGTCGTCAACCCCCCGGTCCGTGGCCTGGTACCAGTCCGTGGTGTAAGCCAGACCGGGCCGTGAAGACAGACCTCGTGCCCCCCCTGCACTCTCCTCCCCACAGCTGTTGTGCACGCATGCCAGCGCCGGGGGGCCGTGAAGACAGACCTCGTGCCCCCCTGCACTCCCCTCCCCACAGCTGTTGTGCATGCATGCCAGCGACGGCGCAAGTGCTCCCCCACCCCTTTGCGCATGTGCAGGGGCACCGGCATCCCCGCACAAAGGTGTGGGTCCCTTCGCGCATGTGCAGGGGCGCCTGCATCCCCGCACAAAGGTGTGGGCGGGCACGCAGGTAGGTGTGCATGCGCCTCTGTGCATGCATGAAAGGGTGAGGGAGCGCTCACATGGGCGCTGGTGGGCGGGCGCTCCCCCACTGCTTCATGCATGCACCCGAGAGCGTGCGTACACCTGTGCGCACCTGTGCCCCCCCTCTTTTCTCAGAGGCTCAGCCAGTCCACAGTCCCAAAAAGGTTGGGGACTGCTGCGATTATTCAAAACACTAGAAAAAAAAACAATATTGCTGCACAATATTGTGCCTGCGCTGTCAGCAGGAAAAAGAATGCCAAATTTTACACAGCAAATGGCAGCCTGAATACAGATGACATCAACAGCAGTAATCAAGATGGTCTACAGGTCTACATTTAAATGATCAGATAATTACATGTTGGTCATGACTAAATTATTCCTGATCTTCTGACTGCATTCCCTCTAGTGATACCCTGTTTCCCCGAAAATAAGACCTAACCTGAAAATAAGCCCTAGTATGATTTTTCAAGATGCTAAGCCCTACCCCAAAAATAAGCCCCAATTACTGTAAGTGGAAACCCCACCCTCCACCATTGTGCACCAACCAGAAGATTACATGATTGTGTTTGAATAAACGTAGATTGTTGTACATGAAAAAAATAAAGCATCCCCTAAAAATGATCCCTAATGAGTTTTTTGGAGCAAAAATTAATATGAAACCCTTTCTTATTTTTGGGGAAACATAGTATCAAAGAAATCCATTACTGAAAGTAATTCTCTGTCCACCAGAAAGAAGATGCTTTACAATGAATCCAGGTGGCTTGCCCAGAAATATGTTGTGCGAGGAGATGGGATGCAGGTTCACTTGTCTTTCTTTTCCAAAACTCTTTGCAAACACACTTTTATTCTTTCTGAGCATAAGTGGAAAAATTACTCTTTTTAAAAACACAATAATGAATGTAGAGTGTACGAGTGCTTTTCTACAGGTACATGCCTTCTGACACTCCATCATTTCTCACCGTGATGAGAAAAAGGACTACAGGCTTGTAAGTCTGAAACAAAGCTGGGGAAATTCTGCATGATCAGCTGGCAAAACTCACAAGCTTTTGCAACCACTGGGCAGCTCCCAAAATATGATGGCCAAAGGCTCAAAGGAGGTTTTGTAATTTGTAAGAAAACCAGTGGTTGGATCCAGGGTAGTAGTGGTAGAGATTCAGTGGGAAATTACTGCTATACCCACGTAAAACTTCTTTATTTTTTGGAACAATGAAAAAGGAGGTATATTGCTAACACATCTGCCAGGATCAATTTTTTGTTTTCTTGCCAATCTGGAAGAAGCCTACCATTTGCACATAGGAGGCTTTCTTATATGCTGCATTCTATTGACAACCTTCTCCCAGGCTGGATCTGCTACATTATGAGACTCAGGGTATCCACATGGGTGGAATATTGATCCAATTTCTTTTAAGACAGAATTTGGCCAAAGGAGTGGTGGTAGTAGAATACCCATTATGTCTGACATGGCCCCCATGGACAATCAGTATGCTGTACGCAGGGCCGGAGCTACCACTAGGCTAACTAGGTGACTGCCTAGAGCGCAGACCTGAGAGGGCCGCAAAACTGACCTGAGGGGCACAGAACTGAACTCAGAGGAGCGCAAAACTTACCTGAGAGAGGCACCGTTTTATACAGACTAGTTTCTTGGACCCCTTCATGGATTGGGAGTTGCAGTTCAAAAACACCTGAGTAACAAAGGTTAAGAACCACTGGCCTAGAGCGCAGACCTGAGAGGGCTGCAAAACTGACCTGAGGGGCAAAGAACTGAACTCAGAGGAGCACAAAACTTACCTGAGAGAGGCACCGTTTTATACAGACTAGTTTCTTGGACCCCTTCATGGATTGCTGACTTGTCATGGCGAAGGGGCTTGAGTTATTCAGAGAAGCTATGGGCTATGCCGTGCAGGGACACCCAAGATGGACAAGTCATAGTGGAGAGTTTGGACTAAACGTGATCTACCTGGAGCAGGAACTGGCAAGCCACTCCAGTATTGTTGCCAAGAAAACTCCATGGACAGAAACAAACATCTAAAAGATATGATGCTGGAAGATGAGCCCCTCAGGTCAGAAGCATTCAACATGTTACTGAGGAAGAGTGGAATACAAGTAAAAGTAGCTCCACAGCTAATGAAGTGGTTGGGCCAAAGCCAAAAGGAAGCTCAGTTGCATATGCACCAGGAATTGAAAGGAAAGTCCGATGCTGCAAAAAAATATATTGCATAGGAACCTGGAATGTAAATTCGATGAAACTTGGTAAGCTGGATGTGGTCAAACCAGAGATGGCAAGAATAAACATTGACATCCTGGGCTTCAATGAACTAAAATGGACAGAAATGGGCAAATTCAATTCAGGTGGTTATCATATCTACTATTGTGGGCAAGAATCCTGTAGAAG